ACGAGTGGGCACAGGAGCTGCAGGATGTGGCAGCAAACATGAGCTGTGCCTATGGGCTTTGCAGCCACGATGCCCCAAAGGACCTCAGGCACCCCAGGTCCCTCCAAGTGTCCCTCTGCCACTGCGTCCTGTGCTCTGCAGCCCGGCTGTGCCCCCAAACCCCCCCTTCCCTGGGGCCAGTCTGTCCCCATTCAGGTCTGGGCTTTGGGGGCCAGGGCCACCAGGACCCTGGAGCATGGCTGGCCCCGATGCCAGTTCCCATCCCAGTTGGCAGGACCAGGGGCTGTGGCCAAGTGTTTTGTAAGAGGCGAATCTCTGCCGCGCTGGCGTCGTGCCGGGCCGGGGCGGCAGGGCCGGGCTCTGCCAGCCGTGCAGGGAGGAGGACTGGCCCGTGGCCAGTGTTTGGCCCTCGGGGAGTTGCTGTGTGTAGGCAGGGATGAGTGTGCCTGGCCGTGGGGCAGGGAAGGGGCCGGGCTGGGCGGCTGGAGGTTCACACCCCACGCGGGTTTTGCCTCGTAAGGGAAATGCCAACTGGAACAAGGCAGATGCTGAGCAAGGCGTTTGGCCTCACCTGCCCCTTCGCTCTGCTCAAGTCAGCAGAGCAGGGGCAACCAGGCTCTGCCTTCTGCTCCCTGTTTCTGCTGCTGTTACCCCAAAAAGCTCCTGTCCCTTTACCCCCAGGTCAGCAAAGCGGTGAATTCTGCCTGGTGTCCCTTCTCTGGCACGCAGGGCAGGGTAGGATGCCCAAGCTGTTTGCATGCCAGGAATGGGGCTGATTGCAGGGCAGGAACGGTTCCTCCCTTGGAAGGAGCAAGAATTATCCCCAGCCTGGGCAGTGCCAAGGGGCTGGAGAGGGAAGGGGCTGCTCCTCTCAAGGACCCTGGAGCCCTCTGGGCATGGGGGGAGAGCTGCACGGCAAAGCTCTCCCCTCTGCCCTTGCTGTGCCCTCACAGGGGACTCTGCTTTGGTCCCCATTGTGAAGGCAGCATTGGCAGCTTGGGGGCATGGCGGGGGGGCACCTGGGAGGAGGGTCTCACTGCTCTTCCCAGTGCATTTGGGGTATCCTCATACCCAGGCATCCAGCATGGCAGGGAAGAGCCCAGACCTGGGTCCTGCGTCCACAGACCTCACCGGTGCTGGGGCTAGTGGTGAGCTCCCACAGGCCAGGAGCCAGCTCAGCAGGGCCCTGCCTGGCACACAAGGCTTCCCAGGGCCTCTCCATGGCCCAAACCCTCTCCCTGGCACGGGACAGGGAGCTCCCTCAGGCCCAGCCTGGACGGAGGGGGAAGAGAGGGGCGAGGGGGCTGCAGGGCAGGACGGCCACATTGCCCTGAGCAGAGGGTGGCAGGGCTGGAGCCAGGCAGGGCAGAAGCAGCGGGAGATGTGATGTCCCCAGTTGGACCCCACTGTCCCTGCCGTGCTGACCAGCCCCTCTGCACCCCAGAGAGGGAGCCGGCCAGGAACCAATCCTGGCTCCTTTGCCCCCTTCCCATGGGTGCCATGGGAGCTACTTTCCGTCCCCACAGCGTGGCCCAGGTGGGATAAACAGCAGAAAAGCAGGACGTGCCTGGCAAGAGCACACTCACTGGCGTGTGCAAACAGGCCGTGCCGGGGCCATGCCTCCCTCCGCCCAGCACGGCCCGATGCCGAAGCTCTGAGTCAGCCCAGCGCCAGCTGCACCCGGTGCCGGCAGCAGCGCGTTCCCGTCCTCCATCGGGAGAGACTGACTGCAAAAACCTCTCATGGCTCTCCCTGTCCCTGCTCCTCGAGCTGCCCTCTCCGCCTGGTCTGGGCCCTTCCATTGCAGGAAACCCTTTGGACTTGCTCCCCATCATTAAGCAGGGGGGGAGCAGCCATGGGGGGCCCAGAGATGTCTCTGGGGACAGCGCTGGCCCATGCACAGGGGTCACCGTGTCTCAGAGCAGCAGCTCTTCTCTCCACCAGACACTGGGGACCCCGGGAAGCCCTGGCAGGGTCTGCACAGCCCAGGAACAGCCCCGGTGCAAACATGCCCCAGCCCCGTGGGCAGAGCTGAAGGGGCTGCTGGTGGGCTGGGAGCTGGGCAGGGGGGCAGGCAGGGTGCTGGGTGTGAGGACCTGCTCCCATCCCTCCCAGTCCCCACCACTGCTGCTCCCCTCCCAGGTTTGCTCCAGGCTGATGCCGAGTCCCCAGGTGAGCACTGGGAGTGTCTGGGCCCTGGTGACCCCAACAAGGTGGACGTTTATTTGATGCCTTCCCTGCAGTGTGAGCACTGAGCCATGTGTCCACGGGGGCATGAACCTTGGCCGGGGGGTTCCTGTGGGGGCAGAACAGGCCTCATAGAATCACATGGGGTTGGAAGAGACCTCTGGAGATCGTCTAGTCCAACCCCCTGCCAGAGCAGGGCTACCTAGAGCAGGGTGCACAGGAATGTGTCCGGGGGGGTTTGAATGTCTCCAGAGAAGGAGACTCCACCACCTCCCTGTGCAGCCTCTGCCAGGGCTCGACCACTCTCACCCTGCCCCATGGAAACAACACAGCAGAGGGTGCAGCCCCCCTTCCTGGTCTAGTTGGGGGTGTCCCTGCTGACTGCGGGGGGGTCGGACTAGATGACCTTTGGAGGTCCCTTCCGGCCTGGACAATTCTATGATTCCCTGCAGGAGACTCATGGGATCCCCCCAGCCCCTGGACAACCCTCCTGGGGACAACCCCCAGCACTCTGCACCAGCACAGAGGGGCTGTGCCCAAGCCCAGGGGGATGGAGTAGCTCAGGTCACAACCCCCCATCCTACTGGGGGTTCCCAGTGCCCACCTGGAGGGCGCTGGGGACCGACGCTGGGACCAACCCAGCCCGGGGAGCTCATTGCTCTGTGGCTGGTGCACAGGGCGGGCAGGGAGAGGCTGAGCAGGGCTGGGAGCTGGGCTGGGAGCCAGGCTGGTGCCCGCTGGCCACCCCCAGCAGCCCGGCTGGGCTGGGCTCAGCCCCGGTGCCTGGAGCTCTCCTGGCACCTCGCGGAGAGCGGAGGTTTCACAGCCAGCGCTGGGACGGGCGAAGGCTGAGCTGGGAGAGGGAGGGCCCTGCCAGGGGAGTGGGGAGCCGAGCAGGGGGTGGGAGGGAGGGTGAATTCACACCATTAGAAAGCTGTAACTATAATACCAAATTGCTGGCTGGGTGTCCCTGGGTTAGACAGGAAGGGGGATGTGCCCACAGACGGCTCTTGCTGCGTGTGATGGGGGAGAGGGCTGCGGGGGTGGGGGGATGCATTTAAAATCCTCCTGTGAATGTCTGTTACAGCACGTCCAGTGCCTCCAACGCAGGAGCATCTGACAGACGGGCGGAGGGGGGGATGCATTTGAAATCCTCCTGTGAATGTCAGTTACAGCACGTCCAGTGCCTCCAATGCAGGAACATCCGACAGACGGGTACCGCAGCGAGCATCCTGCCCGGTGGGCAGCAACCAGCTCACCTGCTCCTGGCATAAACTCTGCCAGGGTCTGCAGACGCAGACTTTGGGGTGTGAATCGCCAGGAATAGCTGTGTGAGGAGAGGGAATGTGGTACTCCAGCAAATAGTCTGGGATTCCCTGCGCTGCCCCTGGCCCCGTGACAGCAGGGCTCACCCCGGCCGTGCCTCAGCGCTTTCCAGGAGCAGGTTAATCACCGGGGCGAGCGTCTGTCGGTGCCGCCTCCCCTGATGAATGGGATCAAATACTCTACATCAAAAATCCAGCTCATCCTGAATCCAAGTCTGTGCAGTCACACAGAGGCTGCCGGAAGGATGTTAGAGGAGAAGAGCTGGTTTCTAGGAATGTCCCAGCCCGGAGGCCATTTCTGAGCTGCGGAAGAAGCAGGAAAGCCAAATTCTGGGATGATTCCTTCCTTTCCGCTCCACTTCCCAGGGCTATCGGAGGGGCTCTGAGACCCCCCACCTTCGAGCCCAGGGTGTAATGGGGTTGCTGGTCTCAAAAGTCTGTAGCAGTCCAGGGTTGGTCGCCCACCCAGGGCACCTGTGAGCCCCTGGAACTGCCATGGCAGGACCCCTGCACGGAGGGCTGAGTGTTGCCAGGCCTGTGATGCCACACACACACACACACACACACGTGCACTGGTGCTTGTGGGAATGTCTCCCCGTGAAATCCGTGGGTCTGGCAGGAGCACGGATGCAGGGACCCCCTGCCCTCGCCATCAGTGTGGTTCCTTGTCACCCTGTGGCCCGTGTGTGCCACGCGCTGCCCAAGGACATGGTGGTTTCCAGAAGCCACCCCCAGCCCAAAACACAACGGTGTCTTTGAGGTGACAAGGACACAGCCTGCTCTGCGCCCTCTCTGCTCCTGCTGACCCTAAACCAAAGGGGGGGGGGGGGGGGAGGCAGGAGGGGTCGGGCCGGGCCCCCAAAGATGGACAAGAGGTGCGGAGGGTGCAGGGGGCTCCCCCCGGAGCCCACCCGAGCCCAGGCTCTGAATCCTGCTCGAAAGGACGAAAATTTGCCACCAACGTTTCCCTGATGGGCCCGTCCCCAGCCATGGGCTCAGCTCTGCCTCTGGCTCACACTCACCCAATTTTGGTGTTTCACCAAAGGCTCTGGGGGTGCAGTGGTGGGGAAACAACTCCCAACGTGTCGTATGGACACTGTGAATCTGCAATGACCTGGAAGTGCCATGGCAGGACCCCTGCACGGAGGGCTGAGTGTTGCCAGGCCTGTGATGCCACACACACACACACACACACACACGTGCACTGGTGCTTGTGGGAATGTCTCCCCGTGAAATCCGTGGGTCTGGCAGGAGCACGGATGCAGGGACCCCCTGCCCTCGCCATCAGTGTGGTTCCTTGTCACCCTGTGGCCCGTGTGTGCCACGCGCTGCCCAAGGACAGGGTGGTTTCCAGAAGCCACCCCCAGCCCCAAGCACGACGGTGGAGCCGTGTCTTTGAGGGGACGAGGACACAACCTGCTCTGCCCCCTCTCTGCTCCTGCTGACCCTAAACCAAAGCTCACCGGCGCCGCGGCCCCACGCACGGGGATGCTCCCGGCCACGGGGCCAGTGTTTGCCCGAAGCGGGCAGAGTCAGAAGGTGATTTACCGGACACGGGGCATAAACAGCAGCCGCCGGGAGGGACCCGGTGCCTCGGAGAGCGATCGGCACCGCCACCTGGTGGGGAGCCCGGGA